CCCCCCCCCCCCCCCCCCCTGCGCGAAGAAATCGCATTCTCTTCTCTCGCCCGACCCGGCCGTTGCTCCTCTACCCTCCGCTGGCTCCGTGCGTTCTCGTTGAGGTTCCTTACGCCGTAAAGCCAGATGAGCGAGACGAATCCGCTTTCCCATGCCCGTCTGCGTTCCGAAAATCGATGCTGACAGCTAGTCGCTGCAGTAGCCGAGGCCGGGCGAGCAGCGGTGCAAGGGGCGTGGCAGTCTGGCTGTCGCTAACCGCAGCAACTGCGTGTCCAGCATGGGCTTGCGTGCGTGCGAGACACGGGTGAAGCGGAAGAGGGAATGCGAACGTGACGTCGCTCGTAGCAAGACAGACTGCGAGCGCGTAGACGAGGGAGTGCTGGATGAAGAATGCATTCGAAAGCAAAGAAGAACAGCTACGAGTCGTGACGGCTCAGCGAGCGAGTCCCACCAGAGGTGAAGCGACGTCCTCCTCGTCAAGCAAGAAAGCGGACAATGCGAGCCGTCGCATGCCGTCCTCCCCGCCCAATCGCGCACACACGCACACGCACACGCGCACACACATACGAAGGAGCCCCCCTCGACAAATGGTTCAGCCACGCCTTGCGAATCAATCACTGCGCCCCACCCTACCCACACAGGGGATCGGCACGGACGCAATAAGCGCTTGACTTCTAGTTATTGTTGTTTGTGGCAATGTCATCATGGTAAGTCGAGGGGGTCCACCGTGTGTGCGTGTGCGTGTGTGCGAGCGAGCGAGGAGAGCGAGGTTGAGAGCGGATCGAGCGTGAGCGGCGGCCGTAGCGATGCAGCGGGAGTGCCCAGCGTCGAGTCCAAGCAGGAACAGTCCCGTACAAGCAAGCACGCGTGAGAGCGAGCGTCGAGTCTGCGAGGGAAGGGAGAAAAAGCGTCAGCTCGACGGCGACACGACGCGGGCGGGCGGGAGTTGGACGTGGAATGGACGGTGTGCTCACCTGGAGCCGTCTGGCGCGTGTCGCAGCGCCCCGCGAGCGAGTTTGGGCGGGTCGAGTGAAGCGTTGGAGCGAGAGAGGGGGAGCGGGCGAGCTTGGCCTCCTCCCTCACCCTCACACCGCTCGACCCGCGCACGATGGAACGCCAGGCTGCGTGAGTCTACCTTCTCGTGCCACACCCACCCAGCCCACCCTTCGAACGGGCGCAAACGGCGCCGCCGCCGCTCCCCTCGTCCTCGCTGCCACCCGCCGTCGCTCAACATGGCGCGCACACGGCGCAGGGACCCCAGCTGACTCGCTCGTGTGCCCGTCGACAGCTCTCGCCGCGCGCAGTACAAGAACAAGGGCATCTTCGGACAGGAGGGTGCGTCGCCGCCGTCCCCCCTCGTCCAACTACTCGGCCGCGGTCATCCTGCGCCACTCTCGCTCTCCGGGGATCAGGTGCGCGTGCGATAGACTGTGCTGACTCTGCTCGTCCACCCGCAGAGCTCCGGCGGAGGCGCGAGGAGGCGCAGGTCGAGATCCGCAAGCAGAAGCGCGACGAGACCATCGCCAAGCGCAGGAACCTCAATGCCGCGTCCAGCGGCGCAGACTCGGACGACGAGTCTGGCGTCGACTCGTCCGTGAGTCGCAGCGGTCGTCCGTTTTGCCCAATTCCGCCCGCTGACCTGCTGTCGTGCAGTTCCTGGAGCAGCTCCCCGCGATGATCCAAGGCGTCTTCTCCGACCAGCCCGATCAGCAGCTCGACGCCACGACCAAGTTCCGCAAGCTCCTCTCGAAGGAGCGCAACCCGCCCATCGAGAAAGTCATCGAGTGCGGCGTCGTCGCCCGCTTCGTCGAGTTCCTCCGCTCCAGTCACTCGATGATCCAGGTGCGTCCGGCACAGTCACGCTGTCATGATCAACTTCTGGCTAACGCATTCGCGGCTCGCAGTTCGAGGCCGCTTGGGCTTTGACCAATATTGCGTCCGGCACCTCTGAGCACACCCAGGTCGTCATCGAGTCCGGCGCCGTCCCCGTCTTCATCGAGCTCCTCTCCTCGCCCGTCCTCGATGTCCGCGAGCAGGCCGTCTGGGCGCTCGGCAACATCGCCGGCGACTCGCCCAAGTGCCGCGACTACGTCCTCGAGCAGGGCGCCCTCCGCCCGCTCCTCGCCCTCCTCAACGAGCCCCACAAGATGTCGATGCTCCGCAACGCCACCTGGACCCTCTCCAACTTCTGCCGCGGCAAGAACCCGCAGCCGAACTGGGAGCTCATCTCGCCCGCCCTCCCCGTCCTCACCAAGCTCATCTACTCGCTCGACGACGAGGTCCTCATCGATGCGTGCTGGGCCATCTCGTACCTCTCGGACGGCTCGTCGGACAAGATCCAGGCCGTCATCGAGTCGGGCGTCGTCCGCCGCCTCGTAGACCTCCTCATGCACCACTCGACTGCCGTCCAGACCCCCGCCCTTCGCTCCGTCGGCAACATCGTCACCGGCGACGACCTCCAGACCCAGGTCGTCCTCGCGTCGGGCGCGCTTCCCGCTCTCCTCGCCCTCCTCAGCTCGCCCAAGGAGGGCATCCGCAAGGAGGCGTGCTGGACCATCTCGAACATCACGGCCGGCTCGCCCGCGCAGATCCAGTCCGTCATCGACGCCAATATCGTCCCGCCCCTCATCAACGTCCTCCAGCACGCCGACTTCAAGACCAAGAAGGAGGCCTGCTGGGCCATCTCGAACGCGACGTCGGGCGGCCTCCAGGAGCCGAGCCAGATCCGCTACCTCGTCTCGCAGGGCTGCATCAAGCCCCTGTGCGACCTCCTCACCTCGACCGACAACAAGATCATCCAGGTCGCGCTTGACGGACTCGAGAACATCCTCAAGGTCGGCGAGGCGGACAAGGAGCAGAACGGCGGCGTCAACCAGTACGCGCTCTTCGTCGAGGAGGCCGGAGGAATGGTCGCCATCCACAACCTCCAGCACCACGAGAACCTCGGTGCGTCTCCGTCCCTGTCCGGAGCTTTTCGCTGCTTTCACTTGCTGACGACTTCGTGATCCGTTCTTTCACCCGCGACTCGACATCTTCCCGCTCTTTCAACGCATCGCCTGCGCCGTCAACCGTGCTCGTCTTCACGTTTCCGCCTTCACCCCGACTCTCGATTGTTCTCTCTGGTCGCCTGCTTCGACACTGTCCCTCGCCTTCGCCTCGTCTCGCAACGCACACAACGACTTCACGCGACCGCAGAGATCTACAAGAAGGCGTTCGACATGATGGACCGCTACTTCCCCGACGACGAGGGCGACGAGACCGGTCTCGGCGATGCGCAGGTCGACGAGCAGGGCGCCTTCGCTCTGCAGACCAACCTCCAGGCGCCTCAGGGCGGCTTCTCTTTCGTGAGCACCGGTTCTTGCGCACGAAACGCTCGCAGCTCGCTAACGCCGTCACTCCCGCAGGGCAACATGTCTTGATCGCGTCGCGCTTCGACTCTTCCGGCTTCACCCTACTCCTCCTTTTACCCTCAACCTAGACCCTTTCCACGTTTCCGGCGACGGCTTCGAGCCAGCGCGCCCTTTTCCTCGCGTTTTCACGCCTCGACGCCGACTCGCGCCGACCTTTTCTCCAGTTTCAGTACCTCGGTTCTTCGCCTTCAGCACTACTCTGTACTCGTCAGCTTCGCCACACGTTATATCTCCCACCCCTACGCACCTCCCGCTCGCATGGTTTTGTCGCTCCCTCGTTTCGTCCTCCCCTGTTGATCACGCTTCTCAAAAGGGAGCTGAAGGCTCCCTCCCATCGCAGTCCTATCACTCAGCATGTCGCCTCATCGATCTCAAGGATCACCCGCGACCCAGTTATACGATACCCTCTCCCTCCGTTCCACTCTCTGCCCGTCGCATCCCTCGCTTCTTTGCAAGGCTCACGTCCGTTCGCTTCCGCACGCCGAGCTGGACGCCAGCAAGAGGTCTGTGTCGGTCTGTCTGCATCGCAAGCCTACACACACGCTCGCATTGTCCGGCCGTTGTCGTCGCTTGTCGCCGCGAGCAAGCACCGCGTACGAGTACATGCGCCGGCGGCCTGAGCGGCTTCCTTTGGCTGGCTGGCGGTCTGCAACGTCGTTCTGCCTCGTTTCACACTCCACAACACCGCTACGAATGGACCGCAAGCGCGAGAGGAGCGTCGAGGTCGCTTCGTCTCGCTCGCCCAAGTTGTCTCGCGTCGACCACACGCTCGACAGCGTGCTCGCGCTCGCCGGGCAGCACGCGAGTGCGCGCTACGCTGGCAGCGACCCGCTCATCTCGCCCGCCTCGCCGCCCGTCCGCCTCGACCCCGTCTTCGTCGACTTCCCCACCCTCGCCTTTCCCTACCCGCCAAACAACGTCCACACGCCCGAGGTGGACCCGCCGCTCGCTCAGGCAGGCTCATTCGAGGCCATGCTCGCGCCTCACGGCTCCGGCGAGTCGCACGCTGCTGTCGCCGCGCCAGACGGCGCGTTCCCGCATCCAGGATTCGGAAGTCCGGGACACGGCAAGGGAGCGGCGCAGGGAGCGAACACGGTGCGTGCGAGCTGTCGTTGTACTTCCTGGGATGGCGTGGTGCACTGGGCGCGAGCGCAGCGCTTAGGCTGACGGCGTCGTCGCGGAGGGGCCTCCTGGTTTCGGCGGGAAAGCGGGCTGACCTCGATCCTCTGCTTCGTTGGCTCCAGTGGCCGTCTCCAGCTCACCACGGCATCCACATGTCCCCGTCCGGCAATTCGATCTCATCCTTCGCGACCACACCTTCCCTCGCCGCCTCGACCTCGTCCGCCATGTCCCATTCTTCCTCCGCCGACACCCTCTCGACCCGCCCGAGCAGCCATTTCTCGCCTCACTCGACAGCGACCTCGCCAGGCGTCTACTGCGTCGTCCCGCCGTCGCCCGCCTCGAGCGGCTACTTCGGCGAGCCGTCCTCGCACGGCTTGGGGCTCGACTTTGCCGCTCCACCGCTCGCGTCTCTGCCCGAAGAAGCGCACGGAGCAGACGCAAAGGGCAAGAATCGCGTCCCGAGCGCGATGATTGTCGAGGAGGCGGGCAGCGTCTCGCCGGAACCGCGAAAACGGCAGACGACTCGACCTGTCGACGTTTCGCGGCGGGGCGAGGACATTGGGCTGTCGCTCGGCGACTTTGACATCCTCGACACGCTCGGGTGCGTTCGCATGTCGTAACTTTCGCTCCCTCACAGCGCTGACACCTGCGTCTCGCAGCACCGGCACCTTTGGCCGCGTCCTCCTCGTCCGGCTGCGCACGTCGCCTCGGCGACCGACGCAGACGCAACCGCACTACTTCGCCATGAAGGTGCTGGAGAAGAACACGATCGTGCGGCTGCGGCAGGTCGAGCACGTCAACTCGGAGCGGACGACGCTCGCGCATGTCGACCACCCCTTCGTCGTCGATCTGTGCGTGGCGACACATCCTTGCACATTCACTGTGAGCTGACAAGCCGCCGCGCGCAGCTTCTGCACCTTCCAGGACGAAGCCAACCTGTACATGCTCCTCGAGTTTGTGCAGGGTGGCGAGCTCTTCTCGCACCTCCGGCGAGCCGGCCGCTTCTCCCCCGACGTCTCGCGCTTCTACATCGCGAACCTCGTCCTCGTCCTCGAGCATCTCCACAAGCAGGACATCGTCTACCGCGACCTCAAACCCGAGAACCTCCTCATCGGCGCAGACGGACACATCAAGGTCACCGACTTTGGCTTTGTGAGTCGCGCTGCGCCCTCCTCCGGCGTGCAGATGCTCACTCTACGCTCTCGCGCAGGCCAAATACGTGCAGGACCGGACGTTCACGCTCTGCGGCACTCGTGCGTTTCCTTCGCTTCCATGCGACGCGGTCGCTTCGCTTGCCCAGCGCGAGACTGACTGGTGCACTCACAGCCGAATACCTCGCGCCCGAGATCATCACCGCAACCGGCCACAACGCCGCCGCCGACTGGTGGGCGCTCGGCGTCCTCCTCTTCGAGCTTCTCGCCGGCTACCCTCCCTTCTTCGCCGACAACCCGCTCGAGATCTACGAGAAAATCCTCAAGGGCAGGTTTGCCGTCCCGCGACACGTCGACCCGCTCGCGAAGGACCTCATCAAGCGGCTTCTCACGGCGGACCTGAGTCTGCGGCTTGGCAACCTCAAGGGCGGCGCGCAGGACGTCAAGTGTCATCCGTGGTTCGAGGGAGTTGATTGGTCGGCGGTGGAGCTAGGGTTAGGGTTAGGGTTAGGGTT